GAAGGCAGACACTTAATGACAGGGCCACCCAGGCGCCCCAAGATTTTTTATTTTTTGAGTGATGTCTACACCCAACGTGAGGCTCAAACCCATAACCCTGAGATCAAGAGTTGCACGCTCCACTGACTGAGTCAGCCAGGTGCCCCTTAATAAGACTTTTCTGACTTAAATCTAGGCTTTTGTTGTCATCTAGAAAGGCTCCTGTCCTTAAATTAGTAAATTTTGAAAAATTTTTGTCTAGGGGCTCCTGGGTGGCTCAGTCTGCCTTCAGCTCAGGTCATGATCCTGGGGTCCTGGGATCGAGCCCTGCATCAGGCTCCCTGCCCGGCGGGGAACTTGCTTCTCCCTCTCCCTCTGCCTGCTGCTCCCCCTGCTTGTGCTTGCTTGCTCTCTCTCTGTCTCTGTCAAATAAATACATAAAATATTTAAAAATTTTTTATCTATCCCTCTATCTATCTATTTGAGAGAGTGCAGGCACATGCAGGAGCATGGGGAGGGGCAGAGTGAGAGGGGGAGGGAGAGAATCCCAGGTAGACTCCCTGCTGAGTGTGGAGTCCATCGCAGGGCTTGATCCCACAGCCCTGAGACCATGACCTAAGCTGAAACCGAGAGTCATATGCTCAACCAACTGAGCCACCCAGGCGCCCCGGGTGGTTTTTCCCAGGTCCTTGCCTGACTGTGGAGATGATGACATCTTTGATGACTGTTCAGTGCTGTATTCTTGATGCCATTCCTTGCTGTCCTCTACTGGTTTCATTTACAGTAAACATTTCTAACGACTTGTAATCCTCTCCTTCTGCTTTACAGATTAAATTAGGGGTGCCTGGCTGGCTCAGACGATAGAGCATATGTGACTCTTGATCTTGGGGTTGTAAGTTTGAGCCCCACATTGGGTGTAGTGAATGCTTAAAATCTTTTTAGGGGCAGGGAAAAAAATAAAAATAAAAAATAAAATCTTTTTTTTTTTTAAAGAATTAAACTAGTGTGGTGAGCAAATCTGGAAGCTTATTTTTATCCAAATATGCCTTGGAGAAGTTCTACATTTTCTGCAACTTTATTCATAGGAGCTAAACCTAAGTTAGAGTTTTTAGGTCAGCTTGGAATGTGAAAATATGTTATTCCTGCAGTCTACCTTTTTGAACTTCCTCCTTGCTCTTAAGAATTGTCGTTGTGCTTTTGGGGGCTAGGAGTGGGGATGTGTGAGTATCTGATTGGTGAACAGATTCTGAATAAAGGAAGAGTGACACCATACTGGTGACTACATGTTACTTTGAAATTTTATTAGTTCCTGGACTTTTTGCCCTATAATATGTGTGTGTTCAAGGTTCTAAAGAAGTCTGTTCTTAAGCCTTTTCTTTTAATTGATTCAGAAAAAGTTTCACATGAACAAGAGGCCTTTAGGAATCTTCAGGGCTAAATATTCCTTCCCCCTTGCAGATTATTTAGTTATTGCTGACTTCAGGGCCTCTCCCTTGTGAGTGCCTGCTAACCCCTCCACGGTGGAGAATGGCAGACTGAACAATGCAGTGTCCCACTTGAGAGGACTCTTCAGGTGCTCTTACTTGCACTGACCCAAAGAATCCATCACATTCTGTTAGTCTTTCTTGGCTTCTGTGCAACCCATTCTTTCAGACATTCCTTTTGTGGGGAGGCAACATGGATTTTAGACTGCTTCAAATCCACACAATTTATTAACTCTGTGATGGTGGGCAAAATTACTAAGTTTTCTCATCAATAAAATGGGGATAATAAGACAGGCCTCTCTGGAATTGTTGTGAAGATTAAATAAATATTATGTATAAAGTTACTAGCATAATTCCTTAATCCCTTTATCCTTCCAAACCACTCAGTTGCAGAACCTCAAGCCTAAATCACTTAATACTTTTTTCTTTGTTCCCGCATCCTGGCTGCTAAGTGTTGCCACTCGAAATCCATAGTCTATAATCTCAGCTGAGACCTCAGTGCTACCAAGCAATACTTTTATGTGATTTTTTTTTTTAAGATTTTATTTATTTATTTGAGAGAGAGTGTGTACAAGCAGGGTGGGGAGGAGTCGAGGGAGACGAAGAAGCAGGCTCCCCACTGAGCAAGGAGCCTGACGCGGGGTTCGATCCCAGGACCCTGGGATCATGACCTGATATGACCTGAGCCGAAGGCAGATGGGTAACTGACTGAGCCACCCAGGCACCCCCTTTTATGTGATTTTGGTCAGCTTTCTTCTTATGCAGAGGTCAGAAGTTGGTGGCCCCAAAGAACTCGGTTCTATAGGCCTCTTTTGTTTGGCCTTGAGATAGTTTTTCATATGTTGGGTTTGGCTGTGAGGATTTAAAACTTAGGAGGTTTCAAATAAGAGTTAAAATGTCTAGCTTCTTTTGAAAAATCGGATGCTCTGAAAACCCAGCATGACATGGCACTCATTGGTTTCTCTCTTGAGACAGGCACGTCTTTTCACTTTGCCAAATTGTCCACAACCTTGTGGACCTACACTGGCCCATTAGATTCAGTTACATTGCTCACTTGATCCTTGTGGGCATTGGCTTTTTGGTTTTGTCCTATGGGCTCCCCCTCCTTAAAATCCCTCAAATGTGTCCCCTTCTCCTCATACTCAAAGCCCTCATTATTACTAACCTGGAGTACTGGAATAGTGTCCTAATCCATCTTCTTATCGCTAGTATTGTCCCTCTCAAGGGACTTGTCTTCACAGTATTATCAGATTCATCTTTCTAAATTGCAGACTGAATCACATCACTCTCTTGTTTTAAATCTTCATTGCCTTTCCACTTTGTACCAAATGAAGTTTAAACTCCCTAGCATGGTTTGCATTTCTACATGATCTGGCCAGTACCTCTCTAGCCACTTAACCTCTCTGTGTTTCAGTTTCCTGCTATGGAACATAAGAGAAATAATAGTTCTTACCTATAGCATTATAATAAAGACTAAATTTTAAAATGCATATAAAGCACTTGGCATAATACTCAACCTTTAGTAAGTGCTCAATAAATATTAATAGTATTATGGTACTACTATATTTTTGTTTTGTTTTTTTCTGGACCCCAGGTGTTCATATTTGCCTTTTCTTCTACCCTGAATGTTTTTACACCCCTGTTTTTCCCTTAATTGCAGCTCATCCTTTAGGACTTAGCTCACGTGTCACCTCCACGGTACACTCCCCGAACCTCCATATCCCATGGCACCTGTGCTTTCCTCTAGTAGTGCACTTTTCACATTACAGTGAGGTCTCATTTCTTATTCGTCTTATTTAGACTTTTAAGCTCTTCGAAGACAGGAACTATCTTACATATCCCTGTATCCCCAATGACTAGCACAGATCTAAGCATTGACAAATTAATGAAGGATCAACATCATTCATGGCAGAAGATACTTGATTAATATTACTGCTGTTACTTTTAGGGA